ATAGTAGAATTTATGAAACAACCTATAAAAAACAATAATACCATACAAATCATAAGTTCATGAACAATCAGCAACATAAAACATATTATAAATCCATATCCATTAACAATAAACCAAACCATAACTGTTTCTCTTTTCACCAGCCTACTAGTATCCATAGGGGTTCATAGGGATGTTCCTGCTACACGTGAACCTTTTCCTTTAACAATCTCAATTACAGGGCCGTCCCCATACCCCGTCCAGTATAAGCATCAAATCATTAAATCTCAATACTCTGTCCAGTATGAAGATGAAGCGGGTCGTCCCCATACCTCGTTCTGTATGAGCACCAAATTATTTAGTCTCTATAACTCGTCCGGTATGAAACAACGTTCACGGTACGGTTTCCTATGTACCCGATCCGTTCACAATCTCCTAGGATATCTAATAAGGTTGTCGTTCCATCTGTTTATTTAATCACACAATTTTTTCGTTTTCCTTTAGTCTCCATTTTCAAAACAAACATAATCACATAAGTAAATAAACATGCATCAAGTAATGCAATCATGTCTCAAATCTCAAATCAAACAACAGTCATGTAAGGTAGCAATTCATGCATTCAAACCATAAAATAAATCAATAAGATACTCGCAATCTTCTTGCGGATCGGATTCTAGAACCTGGTCCTCTTGATCTGAAATAGTTAAATAAAGGATAAGCTACACTAGCCAAGTACGGATGTCACAATATATCACCGGTACAGAAATAAAGATTGGTATAAAATCGAAAATCACTAATGGAGCATTAAATTTAGTTAATTTATTTATCAATCATAAAATTATTTCTCGTTCACTTACGATAGTGGAATTTATGAAAACAACCTATAAAAAATAATAATATCATACAAATTATAATTTCATGAACAATCAGCAACATAGAACCTATTATAAATCCATATCCATTAACAATAAACCAAACCATAACTGTTTCTCTTTTCACCAGCCTACTAGTATCCATGGGGTTCATAGGGATGTTCACGCTACACGTGAATCCTTTCCTTTAACAATCTCAATTACAGGGTCGTCCCCATACCTCGTCCGGTATAAGTACCAAATCATTAAACATCAATACCCCGTCCAGTATGAGGGTGAAGCGGGCCATCCCCATACTCCGTCCGGTATGAGCGTCAAATTATTCAGTCTCTATACCCCGTCCGGTATGAGACAACGTTCACGGTAGGGTTCCCTATATACTCGATCTGTTCATAATCTCCTAGGATATCTAGTAAGGCTGTCGTTACATCTGTTTATTTAATCACACAACTTTCTCATTTTTCTTTAGTCTCCATTTTCAAATCAAATATAATCACATAAGTAAATAAACATGTATCAAGTAATGCAATTATGTCTCAAATCTCAAATCAAACAGTAGTCACGTAAGATAGTAATTCATTCATTCAAACCATAAAATAAATCAATAAGACACTATCATGCTCTTAGACTATAAAATACATCAACAGAGATTAACAAAAAATAATTTCCAGTTCGGGATCCATTAGCAATCAGTAATTAATTATGTATGTTTACTAAAATCGCACAAAATACCACATTATTATTTATTTAAACTTCAATTCTATGATAGGGAATATGGTGAGGGATCCTTACTTGATTTGATACCGAAAAGCTAAACAGTTTACTGAGCTTATAGGTGGTCCCTAGATTCCCTAAATTTTTCTCCAGAAACTGAAACGCGCTTATAATACCTACAAATATTCCAAATAAACCCAAAATTAGATTCAGGGCTCACTCGACCAATTTTAAAAATCTGGCGACGGCGGCTCCACCGTGCTCCGGTGACATGTTGCGGTTGGGTGTTTCACTTCAGTCACCCTGTAGAGAAGCAAACAGTGATCATAACGGTGAAAAATTACGCGAAATGGAAATCGAAAAGGGCCTCATCGGAGGCA